GTTCTCTCTTACAAGTTTTACGAGAACACATTACGATTCTGCTTAGAATTGACCCATAAGTTTCTTCGTGTTACGTTGAATATTATGTAATAAAGAATAAAGATATAGAAAATTTGGTAATTCGAAATATGAATATTCTTTTTTCATTGCAAGCGGATGTATGTACTTCGACATATAGTATATATGTACTTCCAATATATACATACATATTAGAAGCACAAGCATACATTGAGACTAGAAAACGATCATTATTGACGATAATCGCAGACGGTCATCGAACAGTCGAGTTACGTAAGCGAACTTATCGATTCGCTAATAAAGAATCGACTATACGGAAGCGATACGAACGTCAATCCCCTTCTATTATCGCGCCTCTAGAATGATAAGAGTTTTATTACTTCACAGTATGATGTATGTATATATTACATATATTCGTATTTGTACAATTCAAGAACGTAAATAAACTCGACGTAAGTAGTCGCCTCTTCTACGATATTACTTGACGATATCGTTAGTCAAAGTAGTCACGTTTCATTATGAAATTATTGCAACACGAGAAAGCGATAGGAAAAAAGAAAAGGAGAGAATGCAAGGTGAACGCGTATATGCACATGCGTGGGCTTTCTCTCGACACGCGCGAAAAAAAATTCGCGTCTCGCCGGCAGCCGGTGACGTCTGCAAAACTGTCGCCAAAAACTGGCATATTGCCCGACGCGATCGCACGAAAACGTAACCGAACATTCATCTTATCATCACGGATGCGGTTGGCGCGACACTTGGAGGAGAAGATTATGTGTACGCACTCCCTTGGATCAGCTGGTGACGCGTGATTCCTCATTGCAAGGAAATTACTCGACCGCGATGTATCCTGCCATTTAGGAATCGTTCTAAAGAACAAGCTCGAGTTGTAAAGACATTTAAAAAGATTTCTATTTCTATAAAAGAAAATAATATTTTGCAAAAATTTTTTTAAGATTCTTATTGATAATATTTTGCAACTAAAATTTTTTTTCTTTCTACCCTCTCTTACTTTCTACCTGATATCGGTTAAATTCACAGCTGGCAATTTATTATATTTATGATTCCGTGGAGATTTCGATACTCGATACGACTGTATCGAATAATTTCCTTATCGTGCTCAATCTGTCATTGGATGAAGGATAACGAGCAGAAAAGATTGTAATTGATACGATCGAGTGATATTACAATGATATATTAATGTGTAATTAATAAATCTTGGTGATTATACTGATTGTACACGAGACTCGACAAGTACATATAATATGGTTTATTAGATGATTCAATAGGCTTAAGAGGAGCTTAATTATCAAGATAGTTGAAATTCTTCACATTCATTGCGCTGTCTGATATGAAACGCTTGTATTTTTACAGTTACTCGTTATCGCAGAATTATTCTAAGTAATTTTCAAACAGAATTAGGTACTTATGTAAGTGGTTTTAAAGATTCAATTCCTGTGATTACCCTTACAAGATAACAGATAATACTATAATAATAATAATAATATAGATAAGTAAAAAAAACTAAAAATAAAAACATTTACAGAAAATGTAAAAAACCACGTTTAAAATTTCAATAGAATTATTACCTGATATACAATCTGTCAGATTTAATTAGGGCATTATGGCCATTATGGGAATTATTTGGAATAGATATTTAGGATTCGGAATTCCGATCGGAATTGTTCAATTATTCTCTAGATATTATTTCTATTGTGTTTTCTAGGGAAAATAAAATAATTCCGATCGGAATCTATTCCGAACAACTGCATAATACGAGTCTAGATCAATTTAGTTGCACTTCCTATATTCTATACTCCTTTCTTTTCCTAAAAACCATGTTTGTTTCATAAATGCAGAATTGCTAGAAGAAAATGCCTCAGGCGAGAGAATATTTAGCGTACATATACATCACCGAGCAGTCGATAGCGAGTTAACATCGTTTTCCTGCGAGACATTTCGCTCACGTGGTAATTTTCTATTTTTACGACAAGCAAATATCCCGCGCAGTTGCAAGACTAACGTCATTTTCACCGCGGCTTTCGTCAGATAAGGAGAGACGTAGTTTCTTCTAGGAAGGAGAAGCAGAACCGATTACGCGCCTCCGCACACACCCATCGCATCGACCAATAGAGAGTGACGGCGACTAAGCGTTTCTCCCTGGCCACATTAAATTAAAAAGGCCGCATTTTGATCCCTCCATAAATAGATTGTAACACTTATGCACGTTTTTTTTATTTTTACGTTAAGTTAAAAAATCGCCTTAATCGTATTCAAGTGTTTTATTAAAAAAAAAATGTTGCTAAATTAAACAAAAATATTTTCTTGAATAGTACTTAGCTGAATATTTATTAAATATAAACATATATTTATTTTCTATACGAGAACCATTAATTTGATTTAATAAGCACCTTTTTAAGTAAATATTAGGTTAGTACTATTCAAACGAATATTTACTAAAATATTTACGAATATTTAATACATTTTTTCCTAATGTTGATATGTGAAATCGATGGCTAGGTTCTCCAAAAGATTAAAAAAATTTTCAAATGCCTTAAATGCCTTAAATTTCGACAGACAATGGCGATCTCTGCTTCGATCGATACGTAGGAGTCGTCCCCACGGACTCGCGTCATCATGGATACGCGAGCGAAAAAAAGCATCGATCACCTGTTGTGACACCGAACGCGATTCGCGACATGTGCGGATTATTGCGCGATTATCGCGTGTGCACAGATGCAGGACTATTTCTATCAGATTAAACGATACGCGCAAAAAAAATATTTTGCTGCTCCAGCTAGAATTATAGCTGTTTTTTTGTATCTGATAGAAAATTATGTATCATTACGCATAGAATTTATAGCACAAATCTAAATTCTATCTCTGTCATCTGTATGATTAGATGCGATACATATCCAATATCGCGGTACCTGCTAGAAATTTATCTATTCCAGCTATTTTTCGTATTTAGATAATTTTCGCTGTAACTGTAAGATCACTTTTTTAAGTGTACGATAGCCAAAGCGAAGAAACGGACGGCGGAACGGCAACCTTGTCGAAACGAAGCGTCAATGCCCCGTCCGTTATATTTCAATTTCTTTTCTCGAATCGTACGCCTCGTTTCATTAATTGCGTTTAATACGCACCGAGGGCAAATTAATCGACTGCCTAGAATATCGTTAAACGCGGATCAAATGCGCGTACAGGCGCGCAACGTGCTTATTGCGTCACTCGCGGGCAAACTTCGTCACGTGTCTCATTGCATCCAGTGGCGTAATCGATATTATTTCCAAGAAAAAAAGATGTAAAAACGAAAAGAGATAGAAGAAACAGGAGTGAAAAAAATAAGATAATCTGATAGAAGTGAAGAAAAGGGGGCATTAAACGTATTTTAGATCTTTGAATACTTTCCGCGTGACGACACTTGAGAAAAATAGATAAGCGAGGAAGGTGATTACGGCGAGTTACGCGTGGAATTCTTGCCAATAATCCGACGTGATAATCATCTCTACACGTTGGCGGTATTCTAAGAAAATTCCTAGGCCTAATGTGCAGTGTTTGCGCGTTCATTAAAATAATAGTTAACATCTGAGGAATGTTTCCTTGACGAGGAGCCAGAAATCGATTCTCATCCCTTTTTTAGTGACATTTTCTTCATATCGACATTTGTTTGCTATTCACATTGTTAATTGATATTACGTGCTTTCGATCGATCTTCAAAGAGCAAATTATATAAGATTATATAAGAAAACGTTTCTTCGATGGTTCATACAAAATGTAATAAATCGGCCGGATGTTTAATGGGCAAAACGAGACAGAGTTATGTATACATATGATATATGACGTTACGATAAACCTTTAAAGTTAGAAAACTTTTGGTCAATTTTTTGTATACTTTTGTATTTTCCCCACTACACAAAAGCTTACAGCAATATCACTTACAGAAATCTAATACTAGAAGATAATAATTAATTACCTCTCTCTATTTTAGATATTGAGAAAACACTATCGTTCAGTACTTAAGTATTCCAAATAAGTAATTAATTACTGTCTTTCAATAATAAATTGGCCAGTATTGATTTCCTTATAATAATATTACTGCAACATTTGCAATGTTGCTGCAAGAATTTCGTTTCGAGCGCAAACAATATCGTATCGTAGCCACAAAGAACTCATTGATTCCAAATATTTGGAATCAATGGGTTCTTTGTGGCTACGATACTTGCAACAGATTCAGTGGATCGATAAAGCGAGCGTAACGCTTATCTATTCGTACGCAACGTGTCGCACGTGGATTTCGTGCGGACACGAGACGCCATCTCGTAAACAAAATTAAACCGAAGATCATAGGTCTTCCACCGCATCTACAAAGTCTGCGAGACATGCCGTACGTGAGCGCGCATGTCCGCCCACCTGGCTTGGAATAACTGCGAGATTTCGACATCACTCTAAAAATAGGGTGTTTTCCCGCTGGCGAATCTTTCGTTTCATAGATGATCATCTTTGCGGTTCGACACCTCGGGCCGCTAGCTACAAGGCATCGTCATCTGGCGCGCTCCGACCAGCTCCGACGAGCCTATTACGTTCATATTTCAAATGGCAATCGTCAGTATCGTCACGGCTGACAGCGCAAGTCCGCCCAACCATCGCTGCGACATCTTTCGATGTAAAGAGCAAGCCGTTTTATATTTTCGAGTCCCTCCAATTGAATAATATATCAGTTCCCTTTGCTTACGCAACTTTTACGTCGACCGCTTTGAAAAGAATTAAAGCATTTTGAAAAGAAAAAAAATTCGTAGTACTTGTATTGTTGCCGTAAATAATTTTGTTTATCGGATTTCGATTTTCTTGTGTTATTAAATCAGCGTAATATTTTTAACGCGTGTTTAATCACGAGAAACGAATTTAATTTCGTGTATTCAATTTTGTTCTAAGCAACAAGCATCGCTCGTTCAATGAACGCATCGCGATGACAGCTTTACCTTCCTCGCCGAGAGAGGTATGGTGGTCTCTCTGGTGTATATTGGAACATCGAGATCGCTGACGCTGCTGCTGATGCTGGGTGCACGCGAATCGCCGCGTCCTCCGAGCGGCACCGTGAGGTGCGTCGGTCTCAGCGGATGCGACTCCGCGATGTAGCCCTCGCCGAAGTCCTCGTCCTCTCGTTCCATCTATCGGAAACGCAAATTCAAAATCGCAAAGTTCAGTTTGTCTTTTTCGTATCTACACTGAAAAAAAGATTGGCTGCTGCAGTAAATTAGATGGTAAAATATGGCATAGCATTTTT